TTGTTTTCTTCGGGATATCCGCGGTTTCAGAAGAAGAAAACATAGTGGGTACTACATAGTGATCATCAATGCATTCTTCCTGATTCCGAGGTGGACCAGCTAAAGATAAGAACGAAAAGGAACTACGAGATGACGTGATACGCCAATGGAAGAGGAATGCCGGCGTATTAACGCGGATCCGTTCCTCTTCCTTTGATAACGGAGGTCGTCGTCGAGTGTCACGGGATGCGACCCGGGCACCCCGGGATGTCTTCTGGACGGATTCGAAAGGCTGATCTCTCGACCAAGCTGATCACGATCGATTCATTTCTCTATATTTTTTGTAAGTAGAACGTAGAAATAGTCAATGGCTAGGAATGATCCGACTTGTATGTTTTGCAATCCGGATTGATTCGACACCGAAGTAATATTCCGTTGGAGAGTAACACTATTAAAGTTTTTATTTCATATGGCTATAAAGCGATGATTGATGTAACGGTACCAGAATCCGCTAGTAGGTATCGAGATTTAGTTTGATAGATAGGAATATTATTTTTTGATGTATTCATAAAAGTTTCAAGTTTTTAGATTTCTTAATATAACATATTCACGATATATACTTGATTTCATTCCCAACTTTTCGAGGAATACATTTTTTCAGATTTATTCTCGTCGAGTCATCGAAAGCTTGAGAAAATTAATAAAAAAATCCTCTCTCTCTTCAAAGAGAGATATAAATTTATGTAACACTAAGCATTTAATAAATGTAAATATAAACTTAAAGTCAGTCTAAACAAAAATTAGAAAAACGATCTACTTAATCAAAGAATTCACGTTGTGATTGATAGCCATAAGATTGGCGAAAATTTCGTGTCGCAATTAAGTATTGATCGTTCTGATGGTTTCGTGAACGAAGTGATTGCTTGAAGAAATTACCGTTAAAGCGATCGTGACCTCAATTTACTTTTACTGGATTCTGTATATCGATCCGTGTTTCTGCCGAAATAATTTGATTGAATTTGTTGCGTTTCAATTGGAATTAGTAACGTAAAGATAAAAAATTCATATTTTGCACTTATCGATTAAAAATTAAGATGCGTGCGATCAAAAGACATCGATTGTTCTCCTTTTTCTTTCTCTCAGAGAAATCAGGAACTGTATGTACACGCATCGTACGTCCGTGCCAGTGCATAGAATTTCGTCGAATACCGTTCGCGGCCGCACGCTACAAATTATGAAAGTGTGTGAAAGCTTAGAGAAGAGCTAAATACGTGGCTCTCGTTCAATCGGCGAATATCACATGATTGTACGCTTTAATGACCCAATTCAATCGATTTTAATGACGTCAATTGAAAAACGAGCGAAGGATTCAATTTCCGTTATCGACGAATAATGAGAACGCGATAAATTCATACACACAGTAATTCAAACACAGTAAAACTGGCATTTACTATATTAATCGATAGATTTTATCGACAGATTAGATAAAAAAAACGACCTTGATATTTCTTTCACGAGTCGTCAATAATGAAGCAGATTTTTATTTGTCACAATTTTTTTTTTTATTCTTAACATTATAATAGCTCTAACCTTTTAAGCATTTTTGTGTTAATTTTGATTGTAAAAAGTTTGCAATTCGTCATCAATCGAGTGATATCTAATTAGTCGTTACATTTGTTTAAGTACTTTTAATTTATGGAAGTTGAATAATATTTAATTCAACTGTCGAAGGACAAGTACGATCTTTGCATGCTGGATTGCTGTTCTTATATATAATTTGCGCTAGATGCGAACAAAAGAATTGGATTACAAGTTGATAACAATAACATATTATGAGTTATCGCAAGTCTAGATATTACCTGTTAAGAAAATTATAATATAGCATCTGATGTCTGTAACTGATCGATGTAATGCCATCGCGATATAAAATAATGCTATCATGACTCTTTATTATAATTGTTTATCATCAACAGCGTATGGTCACGGTTAAACATTTTTTGAACATTTGATGTTATGAATATTAAAGAATTGCGATACGCAAAATACAAACATAAAAATATTTAGTATTCGTTAAATACAAAATGCTGTAGACTTACATTCTTTCGTGCAAATAAATAAGTTGATCCGAGTCTAAAAATAAATGTTTTATGCAAATTTCCAGTATAATACTATTAAAATATTCTTAGAACACGATTCTCAAATAGATGCATAATCACACAAGATGCACAATAAACACACTTTTTTAAAAATAATTTTATTAGTATGTTCTTAATATATTTACTATGATGTAGTATGAAAGGTCACTTTTAATTCATCTTTTAATTCACGAAGGTTAATATGCGAGAATACAATCAATATTAGAAATTAAAGTTTACAACGTTTACAACGGTCGAAGCTGGATTTTTTAATACTTACAATAATTCAACCTTGAATTACTATATATGTACTTGCATATATATAGTCATATTTATAGTCTTTTTAAATTGCGCGCCGAATTGTTTTTCCGGACTATAAACGCAATTAAACTACTTTAATGATCCTGAATTAAATTGACAAGCAATTTTTTTTTATAATTTGATATCCAATCAGCAAATATCATACAAGTACATATATAGTAAAGATTCAAGATTGAATTATTTTAAGCATTGAAAGATCCAGCTTCGACTGTTCGAAGGCCTTTAATTTCTAATATTAACTAGTTTAGTAGAATTAATTTATTCAAAGATAAATAATTATAATTAAAATTATATTAGCTTCTTGAATAAGAGTGTATAGATGCGACGATTGATAAATGTTCGATATATCATCTATTATGTACTTATACTAATCATTTTCAAGAGATGATAACGTATAATCTTTACTCATAAATGTGTATAAAGACTAATATGCACGACTAAGCTTGATCCCCGGCTCTCGTCTTAGTAACGGTTGTACGATCCAACTATCACACAATCTGACATCCCCAATAAAGTCGGTCGTCACGTAATATTGCACATATTGCATCTTCACTTACTAACATCATTTGACGAAGAGTAATATGACAGAATCTATGAAATATAAAGTTAAAAATTAATTTTTTATTTCTAACACTGTTTTCTAAAACTATTAAAAAAAACTCGGCAGCAATATCATCTTGGAAAGTCCTCTTGAAGATGTCACGATTTATGGCAAATTTTATATTTGCTCATCTTTTTTCGTCTCTTAGAATTTGAAATTTATGTGAAATTTATACACACATGATTCAGATTATTTAAATATCCTTGGTAATGGACAAACGTCATACAAAAACTCAAATGTTTATACATTAGCAAAGTAAATAAAAATAAATAATATATTCGCGCGTGAAAGTAACATTCTTGCCGGGAAAAGATAGTTGTCAAGAGATATTTTGAATCTCACTTGTGCAGTAAATAGGAAAAAAATGATCGCTCGATCACCGTCTGTCTCCGTCTAAGACTCGCGCCTTTCGTCGCAAACGATCGGATAAAAGCCGAGTGGCACCCATGTCGGTCGAATCAAGATTGCATCCACGAGAGAAGGATCGTGTGCAGTTATCCCTCGACAAGATGATGACGTGCGTGCGGCCGGCAATTTAAAGTGCCATTTGCTTCCTGTGATAGGGAACAATGGCCTCGTTTCGACATTCAATGCATTGCCGTTAAGTATTTACGCTTTAATTGCCATAATTTACTAATCTACGCGTTTATGCTGTATGAAATCGTATATTTGGCTAAAAGAAAAGAAAAAGAAAAAAAAGGTATAAAAACGATACAAATTAAGAATAGCGAATCTTATCGAGCGTGACGTGTCCTTCTGGGTGTGCTGAAGGGGATCCTAAAGACGTCTGTTTTACCGATTAAGTAGGATTTTACAGCCGATTTATGTGTCAGTGACACTACCTTCTACTACATCAATATTCCACGTACATGTATATATATATATATATAAATTCATATTTCGTAGCGTTTTAATCGGATTTCTAAATCCAATTTTAAGAACTCTACGTTGTTTCTTCGTGCAATCTACTAGTCTGTGGACTAGTATTTCGTAAGTACAAATTACACAACTTTTTATATCAAACAAATGTTGTTACGACGTGACAGCTCTAGAGCGCTATATTGGACTAAGAAATAGTAAAGATCTCAATCAATGTGTATACTTTAATCCTAGAATAGGATTTTCGAATCTGTAGAAGAGAATAGAGTAATTGTCATATAAAATTAAGCGTTTAATCGGTAAAACAGACATCTTTATAATCCTCTTAAAGCGAATTTTACAAACTTTTAGAAATTGAAAAATGAGAATTTGGAAAATAAACACGTTAAAAATATATAAAAGTTAAAAATACATGATACAGAAAATAAAAGAAGCAAAGCAAATTTAATATGCATAAGGATATCATAATTTGTTTTTTAAACAAATTTCTTAAAAGCACAATTAATTAAATGTTTTCTAATTTTTTAAAAAATATTAATATAAATGTATTTTTTTTGTTATCGAATTTCTTATCGAAGATAATACAATTCAATAGATAATATAGAACATTCTATAAGTTATCGCGCCATCACGTAATATTAGTCAACGACATTTCTATTTTGAATTACTTGAAAACTGAAGAAAATCAGAAATAAATCAAATCTACTATAAAATAGAAGGATTTCAAACGCAAGTTTTATGATTACACGTGTAAGCTTTAAATGCTGCAGGAACAGGATTAAACTATTCACTTTCAAACTATATGTGTAATGACAAAATTAGACATGCATGAGTATTCTTACAGAATAATAAGTAAATTATTGTTGTAAATAATTGCTATCTAGTATTGAAATCTGGTACAGTATATGCATTTAAATAATTAAAAAAATATTCATATAACTAAAGTACACTCATCTTGAGTATATATATATATATATTAATGTCATTCGAACGTAACAGACAGTATATAGATATGCACGTTCAGTTGTCATGAATATAAATCGATACCGGTTTATGTCATCCAAGTCGTTCGTGAAATAATTGATTCTGATTAAACTCAAGTACATATTTTCAGAATTCTGATATATATATTTATTCCAGATTTGATTCGAGAGATTCGACATTATTAATTATTTCGCAATGTACGAAATTCGATGCTAAATATATTATAACATTGGTTTTTTCGAATTATTATTCGATTACGAAATTACGAAATTACAACGGATTTAGATGTGTTGGATCATGCAGAGAACGGATATTTAATCGAATGATTCTTTAACCGTTGCTATTACTGCTATTCCAATCGCACGATGCAACGGATTCTGCGAAATTCATTGGTCCAAGCCGGACAACTGTACGTAAACCGTT